GGCTTCCATGTGAGTAGTAAATAATGGTAAGAGCAAGTTTTCGTCACATTTGTCTGCTATTATTTGCTTCATTTATTGACTCGGTTTATGCGCAATTGACAAGTATTTGATGAGCCTCTGTTTTTTCACATCCGTTACACCGCAGAGATATGGCTTTGACTAATTATAAGTAATCGACACTCCGTTTGCTGAGTTCCTGATTGCTTAAGTGGTTTCATGCTGATAATTAGACCCGAAACAATTTTAATATGCTTTAATTCTTTTTTTGGATTCTAAAATAACAGTTAAATAAATCCAATATTGTGTTTTAAGAGTAAACCTAAACCAAATGAGATCTGATTTAACATGTATCTCCTGGACTCAGTAGCTGAATAGACAGCTGATGAATAAAGATTGTCTAATTAAAAAAGGATAGAGCTAAGCGGATACATGGTAAAAATGCTAAAAATAAAGTAAATGGTTTCGAAGTATTTATATAAACTAGGCATAAATCGCTCTATTGACCTGTTCTACCCATTCATTGAGCATAACATCAAGTGATTTTGATTAATATCAAAAATACTCATAACTGTAAATGATGACGATCAAGCTTACAACCTATGCAAGGATGCAGGTATTCTTAGCAGGTATGTCTGACATATTCTCTTGATCGGAGTTGTTTATTTGGCATTTAATTAGATCGGTATTTAAACTCATGGTATTGTCTATTAATAAACTATGAGCTACAACTAAGTTTGTAAAAAACTATTCTTCATCCGTCTGTAAGTATTCGTTGATGCTCAAATCATGATGCCTATTTACAATTGAGTGTTTTGTTGTAGTAACTTTTCTTGGTAAAGATCGGAGAAATAATTCTAGGATCCTCTCTCCTTGGCGAAGCCCGCAGTTTGTTATTTGGACAGACTATGTATACTCCCAATAATCTTAAAGAGTGTGGGTGCTAGCATTTCACCTTTGCCCAACTCATTTTGTGTCCGTTTCTTGCTGCCATATCCATCTTATTCAAAATTATGATACGCAGTTAATAATCTGGAGGCATCTTTTCAATCTATTTAATAGACTAACTTAGACTTAATTGGACTAGCTTGTTGAAGTTTTGTTACTCTTAAATAAATGTATGAATAGCTGC